CTGATCATTAGATGGTCTAAACAGGCATTGCACTGTGGGAACCCCTCAGCATCACAGAATTACACTGTCCTATGTTATGATACATAACTCTAACAACTCTATTTTCCTGTCTCTCACATAGGTCTCCCAGCAAGAGAAGAGGCCCTGTGCCTGAGAATGGAAGGTGCTCTAGACCCTTAACAAAAAGCACCACAGCTGCCAAAGGTAAGGACAAGCCATTGATATTGAAAGATTTACAGAGTCTAGCTTGGACTTTGGCAGCGGGAAGAGAACAGTTTTCAAATACAGCATGTTACCATCTTAAATAAAAATGCCAGTAGTTACTGGTGCTTTCCAGTTGTCTGAGTGGATGGTTGAAGGATACAGAGGGAAAAGTGGAGATCCTTCTAGTTTTAGCAATATTACCCATTATCACCTCCTAATCCTAACACACCCATTCACATGGTAGTTATAACACCCACTCTCCACACCATCTTTTTCCTTTAAAAACCCAAACAAACAAAAACAAACGCCTTGATGACTACAGCTTAAACATAAAGATAGGATGGCAGGTCTTCTTATGGGAGAACTACCAGGAAGAGATTAACTGCAGACTTCGGGTGCGAACCCGGGTAACACCTGTTCCATTGCTCCACTGATCCATGCAAATTCCAGAACAGCACCTAGGCTGGTCAGCTTTTACAGTGTCTGCAAAAGAGATACAGAAAACAATATACCAAAGGGAACAATTTTGCCCGTTTAAAAGAAAATTTCCATTTCTAGTTATTGCAAGGTTGCACCAATCTGCTACACGGAGGCATCAGCTACCGGCTCTGAATTGTGGCAATAAGGAAATTCTTTATTTTCTAAAAGATGGAGTGGGGTTTTTTTCCCCAGCTCCATGGCATGTGTTTTCCAGTTGCCTAGGTTTTCATTTGCCAAATACAGCAGCATTGTATCTATATCTGTTCTGCCCTCCCTACAGAGGATAATCCACCCCTGTAAACATTCTGTCAAAGAAAAGCAGACAGCAGATGTGATTTCTTCTTCTACATCCTCTAAAATTTAAATCTGAACGACTTGAGAGGACAGCTCCAGCTTCTACATTATGCTAACACACAGACACTCCTGTATGTTGTGCTACTAAAAGTAAAAGTTTAAAGCAAACTGTGCTAGCTGCACATAAGGCTTTCTTTCAAGTGAACATTAGAAAATATTGGCATACACTAGATATTTCCACGCCTGACTAACAGAGGAGTGTTTTCTATGCCTGTATACAAAACAGAATACTTGTACAAAGAATATTCATATCCCTCACATGCTTCCTGGTAAACCGGTGCTAAAAAACTGGTCCTTAAGGGTTAATGAGATGTATTTAGAGTCACAAAATCACTGTGGCTCAGTCCCCCTCCTAGTTCGCAGCATGTAGGCTTATACCTGCAGAAAAGGGGCAGCACAGGGCTTGAAGACAATGGATTAAAGTCAAACGGAGAAGCAAATGGATTCTCTGTTCAGAACAGCAGTATGCTCTTGAAGATCATCAAAAAGTGAGATGGCACCACTTGGAAAATACTATCATCCCTGCTGGAACTGATAATGTGGTGATTTCTGAGAACTATGCCAAGTTTATTTTGAACTAAGAGTAGAAATCTTATACTAATTAATGGAAAGCATAGCACCATTTTATCTTACTGTGATAATTTTTCTCTGCTTCTAGGAACAAAGACACTGTGAGATGTTCAACTCCAGCACATACTCCTCAGGAAACAACTGCAGTCACAGCACAGTAATAACTAAGACAGTCATTCCCCTGGTCTACTGTTTGATTTTCATTTTAGGGCTGCGTGTGAACGGTGTGGCAGCATGTATCTTTCTGCATGTTTCTAGCAAAAAGAGTTTTATTGTCTATCTCAAAAACATCGTTGTTGCCGATCTCCTAATGAGCTTGACATTTCCTTTCAAAATTCTTGCCGATTCAGAAATTGCACCTCCACAGCTCAACACATTTGTGTGCAGATACTCTGCTGTTGTTTTTTATACAAACATGTATATCGGGATAACGTTTTTTGGCCTCATAGGTTTTGACAGATACTACAAAATTGTAAAGCCTTTACTCACCTCCTTTGTTCACACAGTTAACTACAGTAAGGTGGTCTCTATAATCATATGGCTATTGTTAATGCTTATATCATTTCCAAATATTATTTTAACTAATGAAATCACTAAAGAAAGTTATTCCAGAAAATGTATAGGTCTTAAAAGTGAGCTTGGCAGACAGTGGCATAAGGCGTCAAGTTATATTTGCACAGGGATATTCTGGGTTGTTTTTTTTCTGCTAATAATTTTTTACACTTCTATATCAAAAAAAATATATAGCTCTTATAAAAAATTCAGAAGGAACTCAGATGTGACCAAGAGAAAAATCAGCCGTAATATATTCAGTATCATGTTTGTATTTGTCATTTGCTTTGTACCCTATCACCTCTGCAGAATACCATACACCCTAAGTCAAACTAGCTCACAATTCAACTGCCAGTCAAAAAAAACTCTGTTCTACGCAAAGGAGTTTACTCTTGTACTGTCCGCTGCAAATGTGTGCCTTGATCCCATTATTTATTTTTTCCTCTGCCTACCCTTTAAAGAAAAGCTGTATCAAAAACTGCATCTCAAGCTGAAAACTTCAAGTGAGGTTGAAATTTCTAAATCCAGAAGATCAAATACACTTCGGGGAAGTATAAACATAGTGTAGGTTCAGGTCTGTAAAATAATGCACATTTCAGAAAGTTATTCAAGAATTCAAGTCTCCAAGAAACTGAACAGATGAGAACCAGCAATAAAACAGAAAAAAGGTTTCAGCATAAAATACCAAGTGATGTTTCTCTGTATAAAAACGTTATTGCATGTTGCCAATATATTTACTATGTGCTATTTCAGCTGATGCTATGATTGCATTATGGTGTGATACGACCTATCTGGATCTAGAAAAAAAGAGAGAGGAATAACTGGAACACCACATTCTGGAGCTCAAGGCCATGGTTCCCTGAAGGGATTATCCAACAGACGGAATAATCAAACTGATTTGCTGTTGTTTCTCACAAAGCCAGGCACGATACACATGACGGTCAACAAACCAGCCTGAAGGGCCTGAGAACAACTGATAGCTCCACCTTGGCTGGAGCAGACCCCTCAGAAGCAACACAATGAAGTTCAGCACAAGTCTCTGACTTGGCCTCCACCAGCCCGTAAAAGAGGACTGAGACCCTGAAGGGAGGCTCTCTTGTGTATTTACCAGCTCGCAAAGCAAAGCATTGAAGGCAATATGCAGCTTAAGGAAGGACCCTATTCCAACAACTGGCGAAAAAAGATTAAAAAAAAAGAAAGAGAGAAAAAAATACAGATCAAGTCCTCAAAGATCTACACAGAGCCTGAAAAACCCTTGATAATTTTTTGGGGTTGCGTTTTTTTTTTTTTTAACATATATAAAGGATTTCTTAAGGGAAACATTCTATAAAATTAAGAATTAAACATGATTATTTGTCACCCTTAGGCACCAAATGTCAGAGTACTTCTATAAAATGTCATGCTCAATATAAGCAAGTGTTTAAAGAGGATCCTTCTATAAACTAAATAGCACAGTTACACTGTACCATATTCCTTGGAACTTTTCTGAAATAACATGGTGTACACCAAAAACCAAACTGACTGAGATTTTGGTAACTCCCTTTCTGTTGTTGCAGAAGGAGGTAAGAACACTCAAGGAGCCATTTGAAAACACACACGTACAGCTGTCTAGAAACTCTGGGGTATATTTAAATCCAGAAAGAATGATTTGTTGGTTTTCCTATGCTTTTGGCACGATGATGAAGCATTTCTCTTTGTACAAAGGTAATAGCTGAAAGCCACAAACCTTCTATATATAAATATAATCTCTTTTTTTAACAGTATTTTTCTGTGCAGCCTTTTTTATTTTTCTTCTTTTGATTGATTTTATCATTGTACAGGGAAAACACACTAGTGCATGAAGTACCCACAAAAGCTTTCAGGTGATGTCTCTGGAAGCTGAATGCTTTCATTTTACTTAACAAAGACGATGTAGGAACAGAAATAACACGTCCTTCACCTTTCTGCCACTGTGTTTCATTTTAGTCATAACAGATAATCTCTCAGGGTGAAAGATTTTTTAAATATACGGTCTTTGAGCCTTCTCCAAGGCTGTGGTAACTTCTCTTGGTCTGAGACCACTGATCTACAGTAACAGTTTTCTACCATCACACAGGATTATATTTAAACTAAAGGACCAGACAGCTCTTTAAACTGCCTGCTGAGTTTAAAGACACTTTTGAGGAGAGTATTACCTCCATTTATTTCCCGCTTGCCTGAAGAGCAGTCCCACTCCAAACCCACAAAGCAGCCAGCGCCCGACACCCGGGGGAGCCTGGATGTTCATCTGACAGCAGGGGCTGGGGGGACCCTCAGCCCGAACCAGCCCTTAAGGACTACAGGAGAAAGTTGCGTTTTGGTTGTGTTTTTTAAAAGAAAAATACATAAAAGATTATTTATATGGTTCTTTCAGAGCTCCCCGACTCTTGTCAAACTGAGACTTCACAGGCTCTTCCCTCCAAGCAAGGGAAATAGTCTGCAGGGGAAGGGAGTCTGTTGCTTTGTGGGAGATTTTTTCTCATTTATGGCAAAAACACTTAGTTCCTTACATGGCATGGCTTGGTATTTGCCTACATAAATCTAAATAATTGCGGCTGTGAAACCACAGTGGCATAGAGAGATGAAAGCACTTCCACAGTATATATTTGTATAACTTTTTAATTACTTTGCAAGCTTTGAAAAAATTACTTAGATTGTAAAATTGTTTCCTCACTCTACCAGATTACTGATATTATACCAACAAAAATCTACATAAAGCACCCAGGGGAAAGTATGCTGACCAACACACTTTTTCAGAAGTGACAGTAAATTTCTAGCTTTTGGGTTGCTTTGAACTGGGATGGAAAGGTATGGGGCCAATTTTTTTTCTGCACTGAGTAATCTAATTCTTTCACACCTTTCCCAGCACATCATGCCTCAGATAAACCTAGCCAGCTCCTCAGACACCCAGAAGTCTTGTTGTCACACTAAGTACCAGCTCTTGCCTTGTCAACCTACCACCTGGAGGAACCTCCCTAAAATTCTTGCAGTTGAAGTTATGGGTAACCCAGAGCTACACAAGGTTCCCATTTGACAGTGACCCAGTCCCCAGCTGCAGCTCATCCTCCTGACTCACTCGTGACTCCCTCCATTGCACTGCAGGAACAAGAAGCTGGGTTTGGTCTGTTTATTCTTTGGAGAGCTAGGTTATTCAGCTGGACCTGGAATCTCTTGCAAAGGTATGGTGTCCCTGGGAAGAGCAAGCGGGCATCGCAGGTGTAAGGCTTCAAAATGGACCATTTTCTCTGCCACTGATAGAGCATAGCAATTTTTCAGGAAAGAGCTAAACCTAGCAAATGGAAAACCTTCCTCCAAACTATTTCAGGAGAGAAAGCTCACTCCACAGCTGCCTCAACATATAAAAAAATCCTGGTTGTGCAGAAATCAGCAATAAGACTCTCACGGAGTTTAATTTTGCAGGATGTCACCTCAAAAAATTATCTCTATTGTAAAAAAAACAACAAAAACAACTCACCAAAAGGAGGGCAGATGCCACTTTAATATACCTAACAAGGCCACACTGTCACAACCTGCAGATGTAATGAGGGACCACCCCTTGTATTTGCTTACTTTAACAGAGAAGGGACAGGACGGAAAGGCTAGTTTCCCTCTGCCAACACCCTCACACATATTCTCCCATCTCACCCCAATAAATTTAAGTCTTTTATTATTTTTATGAGAGCATCTTCATTAGCACGTCTAATAATCATAACTTCAGGGCACTGCATATCTTTAAAACACTGTTCAAACTATTAAAAACTAAAAATACGGTGGGGGTCTGCTACAGGCCACCTGACCAGGAAGACCAAGCAGATGAGGCCCTCTGTAGACAGATAGGAGCAGCCTCACGCTCACAAGCCCTGGTCCTCATGGGGGACTTCAACCACCCCAACATCTCTTGGAGGGACAACACGGCAGGGCATAAGCAATCCGGGAGGTTCCTGGAATTATGTTATTCTGATGATAACTTCCTTCTCCAAGTGGTAGAGGAGCCAATGAGGAGAGGTGCTATGCTGGACCTTGTTCTC